AGAAAGCCTTGGTTGATGATGCTGGCGAACGAGACGAGCCGACCTTCCTTCGAAGTTACAATAGCGAGTCACTACTAGCCGTCTCTTATAAGCCAGCATGCATTCTCGACAGCGATATTCCCAGAAACTCGCACCCTTTGAGTGGATTACGCGTACGATGCGTATAGGGTAGAGATTAAAGGAAGCGATTACGATAAAGAGGGAGCGCATCGGGGAAGCATATGCACCACACGAAGCAGTTACTTGGCTGCCAAGGAAGCGAGGTGTGGCGCTTTCACGACGAAAGGTGCGCTGGTTGCTGAGCAGGACTTCGAAAGCACTCCGCCCCCAAAAGCGATCCGCCCACTAGTTTACTTGTTGATTTGGACGAGCTGCGTGGCCAGCAGCGGCGCAAATGGAGCATCTCGATTAAGCGTGGTTTGGCATGGTGCCATCAAACGCGTTGCGGTGAACTCGTTCATACTCCACTTTCTGAGCTGTTACCTGTTCATGAGTGAAAACCAACGGCCAAAAGGGGTCCCGTTTTGCGTTTTCTTGACGGATTTTTCTGCTTTTTTCGCCACTGGCGTACCATTGAGCACCACCACGTCACAATAAGCCCTTCTTGAATTTTCCGTAATCGCTGCCTTTAAACTATTGAAGAACAACCTGAAACAAGCAACTTGGAATACACATGAAACTTTTTATCGAGTACAGGTTGCACATTATCGAATAATTGTTTTTTAAGAGCATATCTTCAAACATTCCTCAAGTGTTGCGAAGTTGTTGGCATTGCCCTGGCAACCACTGTAGATAAAAGAGCTGCATTTACGGATCGAGACCGAATAACCGTATCTGTAATAATTCAAGAGGGGTCTCGACTTTATTAGACATCTATTACAAAATCAGATTCTTCTGTAATAATGTATTGTTTTAAATTCTTAGAAAAAAATCTATAGCAGATGCCGGGTATGTGAATCCTTACGTATGAGGATAACTTGCGCTCACTTACTTGATATGACGCTCTTCGCACGGTCCTTGTACAAGTGGCATTGTGCAGATTGGCGGCAAAGACGGTGAGGGAGTTGGTTGAAATGGAGGTACAGGTAAAGGAGGGAGGGGTATCGGAAAAGGAGGTGCGAAGAGACACCGGTGGAAGAGGCGGAAGAGGCAGAATTGGCACCTGTGGAGCAATGGGCACTGGAGAAGGTGGAAGAAGGGGCATTGGAAAAGGGGCTTGGAGAGGAGCAGAATCAACGACTGGAATGGACGCCTGAAGATGAAGATAAACGGAAAAGGCATTTGGAGAGGAGGCTGCGGGGGTAAATCTAAATGTTATATTTGAGTTCAAAGAAACACTGAGAAAACCTGGTAAAAAAAAGACTCACGGGCAAACACTATTCCAATCAGCGTCAGTACGAGCGGGTTGACGACTAAGGGTCTCATTGGAGTAATGCTGCTCTGAAGATGTTATGATGGGCAAAAGGACCTGTAAAAACCTACTGATCAGAAATAAGAGACTGAGATTCCCGTCAGAAGCTCGTATGAAGTCATAACTCCATGCTGACCAATGAAATTGGGGATGCGCCGTGCATCATTCATTTTTGGCATGTTCGGTGGTCCAGCAGATCTAGTGCATGGCAAATGCGCTAGAGCTGCTGGGCCACTGAATGTGCCACATTGTAAATCCGCCCTTAATGTCGTCAAATGGCTGATGTGCTTTCAAGGATTTCACAGCTCGATTGCGCAGGAATATATACTAACAAAATTTGTGAACAATCTGACAAGTGCCCTGTTCACTGTGAAGGAAAAACTATTTAATATCCTCTTTATTACTTCTTTGCATTCACCTAATCAGATGCTGAAAAAATAGAGATCTAGGCACATAAAAATGTCATGCCCAATGACTGATTTTCATTACCCAATACCTCAAATTTTCGTAAAATTGAAGGTCGTGGCACGTTCGGCCGTCATAGGAGGGAGCAAGATGAAGTTTGGGAGTCTGAAACAACCAACGCTCCTGATGAGGCTCTTCGCACTGAATTTTTTCTGAGAATTCTAGAAGCTTGAGGCGATGCGTAACTGTACGCCTTGACGAAAGTCCACGCGATGAAGGAAGGAGAGAGCCTAAGATCGTACGGTACAAATGAGACAAACGCAGTGCCTAGTACACTAGAGCAGAAATGAGTGATATGGGTACGATGAGAGCTCCCATGCCTGCGATACCTGTCTTTCGCCCTTGTGGCATATTTTCTATCCACGATGACAGCATAACTTCTGCGTTTGTATGCCAGCTTAACTTCTAGCATGTAGAAATATGTCTATGAGGCCTAGCAAACTGCGCTTTCAAGTCTGACTAGGGTATAAAACAGTGGTTATTTAGCTTAGATTGGACCAACTGATGGAGGAGCAACTCAGCCGAACATATCGCCGGCCCTTTATACAAAGAATCAGAATGAAGCGATGACGTGTATGATGAACACTTCTTTCTTCATCCACAACAGCTGATTGAATTGTCGAAGCATGTTTTCTAGCCCTTTTGTGACTAAACCCCTTGTGTGAATACAGTTTCGACTGAATTGATCAGCCAAAAATGACGGGGAGGAGAGGACTGTAGGCAATCATGGGTAGTGGGAAAGTTTTCATTGCAATGTTCCCTCGAAGTCACAATTTCCGAATAGATCAGCTGTCTGATCAGTAAGAGCCACTAATCTGCTCTAATTACAACTTAATTTTTTTTTCACAGCTATTGCGGAACGCCTAATTTTTGTCACGATCTTTCATTGCGCTTCTTTGTAAACCGAGTGTTTCCCAATGCCTAATGACTATGAAATGAAACAGCATTTTCTCAGTGTACAAACTAAAATTGGAAATATTTATTGAGGATAAGCACCGAAATCGTTGAGAGCACATCTTAATTTTCTTCGTCAGCGTTGGCAAGATGTCATGTTCCTTCACAACATTTCTTCCTGCATTCCTCCTCCGTTTCGAAATTGTTATCATTGCCTTGGCAACCGCCGTAGATGAACATAATGCATTTCATTTCTTTGACGGAATAACCAAACCTGAAATGGTGAAAATAAGTTCGAACTGTTTATTGTCAGTAAGCGACCCTAAGGCACACTTCGCCCCCTCGTCGCTCCCGTCACACCCTGACGATCATATCGCATATTTGTTTCGCTAGAAATGGAACTAGAGGGGCGAAATGGTTCATAATGTGGAGGAAGGAAAAGAAATTGTCGGAACGCTCGCTGGAAGAGCCCTTTTTGTGTCGCTGTGCGAGATTCTAATCGGCAGACAGCACAAATAGACAGGTACTATGGAGGAAGAAAACAAAGAACTTGTACATACGACAGCACACTGGACACCGAGAAAACTGCTTACGCGTCGTAATGCCTGGCGCAGAGCACGCGACCACCACTCTATGCTCGGGTAAATACAGTCCTGTCTATCTGAAGATCCATGGTTCTGCAGGAGACCACTCTACATTCTTCGAGCCATGACCCGTCCGCTTCTTATGAGCTAATGGTGAAGGTTCGCCACTCTCAACCAAAAAGTCCGAGCAAACAAAGCAACCTTAACCACCTCTACCTCCGCACTTCCCACACTAACTGAACGCTAATATCTCGCGTATGGATGCACTGTTTGTTAAACCCGTCAAGCGCTAAATTCTTATTACCACACTAAAGGCAGTGATCATGATGGCTAGGGGCGGTGCAGTTTTGATGAAGTCATTGAACGTCATTGATGGACTGAGCCTCTCAGCGCTCTGACAAGGGGGGTCTTTCGGGGCAAGCCGCGTTTCAGAACCGTTTTTTTGCCGTAGGGATGCATGTGTGGACCACAAAACCGTGTTTCGTTTTCGCTGAACGGTTTTAGTAGTACCAAAAAGTGGTGAATGATACTCTTGATGGTTCGATCCCCCGCGGCGACTAAATTTTGCAATCAAGGTTGGCGGCCACTTGTTGGCTTCAAAATGGTCCTGACGATGAATATGACATCTGATTTTGACATTTAGCGCGATTTGGCACCAAACCGTAGGCGCCAACCCAAATGCAAAATTTAGTCGCCACGGGGGATCGAACCATCAACAGTACCTTATGCTTTTTTTGGTACTGCTAAACCGTTCAGCGAAAATGAAACATGGTTTTGTGTTCCCTACATGCGTCCCTACAATATGCAAGAAACCGTTTTGAAAAAGCGCGGCTTGCCCTGAAAGACCCTTCCTTGTGAGGGTCTTGGAGCCATCTTCATCCCTTCCACCGATGACCTTCAATGGCGTCATCAAAACTGCGTTGATCGCTGCTCTAAAATCCTGAATGTTAATGATCACCTTCGGATTGCTGCCCGACACGGCCCAGTTTCGAGATCCTTTTTGCAGAGTTCATCCAGCGAAGAGGCTAAACTGAACTTCTGTAACGATGCTTTTTTGATCACTTTGTACCACCTCATTGGCAAAACATTTTCTTGAACCTGTGATGTGATATCATGTATTTGTGCTATGTTGATGAGAAGGTTTCTCCACACAAACGTTTTTTTTTCATTTTTTTTGCAAAATATTGATTATCAAATGTGCACAGCGGCAGCGCTACGATGATGCGTCAGTTTATAAACTTTGTGAGCTTTCAGTATGTGTAAACGAACATTTTTGCCCAAATTAATAGAACTTTCCAGGAAAGCCTTCTAGGACACGGCGCGTTTTTTAAACGGTTTTTGGAATGTTATAAGGAACAGTCGCGAGAAGCATTAATTGATGAGCGGCTCCAAAAATGCCAAAAAATACGTGGAAAATGGCTTGTGGTTCGATCCCCACTAAAGAAATTTTTTGCATCCCTTCAATTTCCCCTTTCTTGGACTCACACATGTTTGAGCTCACTGAACAAAAACCTTCCAACATGCGAATATCCAACGCCACAAATGCTGCAGTATATTTCAAAAATGTTTTAAATTACCTTCCTGCGGGAATCTAACTTCTTTTTTTACAATTTTCCTGGCAGCTCCACGACCGCTCAAAAATTATCGTCTGTTTTATGCCCCACGCATGCGCCACAATAACATGCAACAAACCATATAAAAAAAGCGCGTCCAGACCCTGATCTACTTTCCTGGCTGGAGCCATATAACTTGATGCTCACCAAACGTCAGCACGATGAATAAAACTGCCAGAATGAGTTTCATCAGTAATATATTCTGAAAACTAACAAACTGAAACTTGAAGCGCGAGCGATTATTCATGTTTCCACGATATATCGAAAGCCGATACCGGAGTGCCAAGAAAATTGCTAGACCGATCCCCAAGGAATGGCGCGACTCCCCTCCTAGATACGGTCTCGCTACCCATCTCCTTTTTCAGTTCCCTTCTACATATCTTACGTAAAGCCACGCGGTTGTGATCTGATTAATCACCCAAATGTTAGTTGAGCGGGAGGGAGTGAGAGAATGAATGGTGCGGGAGGCTGGAGGAGGAGGAGGGTCACAGAAATAAACAAAACAGAACAAAAAGGAAAGCGAAAAGGGGTATGGACGTTTGTTACATTATAGCTTCATCGAAACAGAAAAAATTGAAGCAGAGTAAGAAGGTTAATAATTAAAGCATCGACGTTGGAAGATCCTTAATTGTTGAGCCATTCACTTTAGTTCCATTCTAAATGACAGCGCTATTTGGATGCAGCCGGCCCTATGCAATGACATTTGCAGACCAGTCAATGCACAAACATGTGTTGGTGTCCAGTCATAGAGATTTGGTATCAATGGACCGAAAACCTGTAGGGATAGAAGGATCGGTTTGCCTGGACGGGGCACAATTCAGGATATGATCCACGGACCATGCGCGTAGTAAACAGCGCCACTTGTCACGACACCGTTTCCTCTCGTCGAAAAAATAACCACAGTACAAAAATAGAAATTCCGCAATGTGATTTTGGGAAGAATGACCTTGCTGGCGAGCTCAACTCAAGATATTGGGTAACACACATTGTATAAACGTAATAGAAACGTTTATTAATAGTTTTTGCAGAAATTGCAACGTGAACGAACCATAAAGGTAAAAGGCAAGAATCAGGATTACATTGATGGGTTGATTCCACTCAAATGTGAAAGTAGGGATGAGAGGTGGACCGCCAATGGAGAAAAAAGGAAAGAAAATCCTGACATGCACAGGAAATACGGCATTTCATTTACTTCCTCCCTCCTTCCAAAATCTGCTGTCAACTCCACACAATATGGCTGGCTATCTTTAATGAGGAAACCGCGACGAAGCTTGATCTGATTGAAACTACCAGATTTATTGCGATTCAAATGCATACAGGAAAGATATTTTTCGGAGATAATAGCAAAGCGTGACCTCCACCATTGTTTTACGCGTTGTATGTGTCATGTGTGATTCCGTGAAGATATAAAGACTTAACATCATATATTCACATGGATTCACGTGCGTCAGCTGATTCAGGGACTCTTACATTTGCCTTTTCCACGAATACATTGACGACAGCGCGTGTTTGCTCTTCTGGCGGTATTCAATCCTTCCCCCAGGGGATATATCCCCCTACTCTGATTCAATCCTCTGGGGGGACAAAAAAGGGTTGCGTCATAGGACCTCGCATACCTCTGTGTTTCTACCTGCCAGACAGTTAGAGCAGCGCGACCCCTCAGGGAAAGAGTGCTTCATCAGTGGAGGGTAGTAGCGCTGCTCTAACTGTCTGGCAGGTAGAAACACAGAGGTATGCTAGGTCCTATGACGCAACCCTTTTTTGTCCCCCCAGAGGATTGAATCAGAGGAGGGGGATATATCCCCCTGGGGAAGGATTGAATACCGCCCCTGGTCACGGGGACACAGGCAGTTTTGTGCACCGGGAGGATCACTCGACGACAGCCTCTCGGCGCCCTCTGAGCGTAACATTGATAGCATTAGCGCAAAATATGGAGCCGTAAACAAGGACAGTGAAGTTCAGGTAGCGGAGAGTAGGCAAAGTCAATTGAAATGATGAAAACTGGAAACGTCCCTCTATCACCCACCTTCCTGGACGAGAACTCAGACTAAACTGTGCGCAGCCTCTGCGACTTTAGCCTCCTCTCAACTCTCAAAGCGGCCGAGCAAGTAGGTCCAACAGCTGTGTTCGAGCATATTTAACCATTCATGAGCACCACGTACATAGTTAGCTCAATGTGTGATCTACAGAACCGATACAAACAACTTGGCAAGCGCATGCGTTGAAAAAGGAGTGACAAGTGAGACGCGCAACCTCGTCTCACTCCGTCAATGTATTGATAAACATAAAAGATTTTTTTGTGTATTCACTTTGAAATTTTCGGACTCGAGAGGATGAAAAACGTTGGCAAACAGGAAAATTTGATTTTCACTGAACAAGGAAAGCAATAAAACCGAGTAAATGTGGTAGTCCTGTGTGAGATTCTGTCGATTGTTTGAGAATTATCGGTCGAGAAGGAGAGGGTGGCTAGACAATAAACAACAACCACACATCGAATACAACGCTCGCATGAGCGTAAGAGCAGGCTATGCTTCAAACCCAGACTAGTACATCATGAAAAGGACGAATTGCTCGGTCTATGGTAGCACTTTCCATACAATCTGGTAGAGCGTCCACGCGGAGAATGACTCTTTCGTTTGTCGGCATGCAGGCATTATTAGCGATAACCAGACAGTTACAAAGCCCCATGCCTGAAAGAATTGATTCTGAAAAGAAAGAGCCTTCAAAAATAACCATTTGTGACCCAGACGGATCCATGAGAGAAGTGAGAAGCGCACATAACGATTTATTATGTGGTGGGGGGGGGCATATATTAGGCGACGCATTTAAGACTTTGAGCATTCAAATTTTAAAGGTTAGCGACAAATGATCAATAGATTAGGATGAGATGGAAGAGTGAAATAATACAGCGGTAAACAAAGACAGAAAAGTTTCCCTAATGCCAGAAGTCCAAGAACCAAATGGGAGCGTTCCACCGCCTATATTTTGGGAGATTTACGTCGGTAATTTGAACTCGTGACAGTGCTTCTATAGTTTTTCGAATTATATACCGAAAAAAATAAATTATTTTTCGTGTCTTATTGTCTCATCATGAGGATATCGGAAGCTAAAGATCTTATTGTTAGAGATATCAACGTTTTTGAGGGATATACAGGGGGGCCAAAAAAAAAAGACATTTTGCCTCCACTTCCAGATGGATTTAAGCACATTTTACTCAACTCAGACCGAACGGTTCCAACTTATTATTAAAGAGTGCATTCCATTCTATAAGAAAATCTTCATAGTGGCCACGTACGTGGACGGCATCAGAAGAATTAGCCCTGGAAACATGGTGCACTGGTCGATCTCAATGGGGTCTTCGAAGGATCGTGTACCATAACGACCCTTACTGGAAAGCTAGTTCCGAGGGGATTTGCACAGTGGTAGCTAATGCCTCTAGAAAACTATCCAACATTAAATCGATTCACGAAATTGCGTAAGAGCTTCAGGCTGAAGCTCTTACGGTAGACCTCCTTGAGCCTGACGACGGTGACAGATGACGTCATATTCTGAAGACGGTGAGGGCAGTGAAGGAGAGCCTGCGTACACTAATAGAGGAACACTTAGGGAATACTCTGCTGAGGAACTCCCGTCAACGACAGCAATCTCTGCGAAGAAAAAAGAGCCGAAGTCCGACATAGGCAAAATGTCTTTTTTTTTTGGCCCCCCCTGTATTATTTGCCCTCCCAACTTCGACGGTTTTTATTAGCAGTTGTGGGTCGGAGTAAAGATATGTCACAATGTGACCAAGTCCATCGCGTTCAGAACATCATCGACATCAGTTTGAGGACGTGGGTTATCTGGAAGACGTGAGATGACACAATAGTCCGGACCGTGATCTGAGTCCCAAAAACCAAAACTAATAGTCTTTCGCATTGCCCAAATCATGTACATCATGTCCATCTGTCACTCCTTACACTTATGTTTCAAGTCATTTAGACACAATGCGTGAAGGACACTGAATGGTGAACGATATAGACGGGAACGCCAGAAAGTGTATGAACAGTTGAGCTAAGACAAGAGCAAGACAAATAAGCAGTAGAATTGGAATAACATTTCGGACAAATCCGCTAAACAAGTGACATTGATACATTGCGTGAAAGTGTAGTACCGCGCAGGAAGACTGCAATAAAAAGGTAGCTGATCTTCGGAAAACAGGTTCGATCTCTGCTACAGCCCACTACTCACTCCTTTCGTTTAGAAGCAGGGGGAAAAATTTCTACAAACATGCCTATTGTTGTTCATTTTTGCCTTTCTAACAGCACCGCTTCCATGGTCACTTTCGCTTGTTACCGTAATTTGTCCCATCATGCATTAATTAGTACAATCAATACAGATATAATATGTACCATTAGAAACAGAAGAATATAATGATCATAATTGGTAATAGCCTTGAAGAGAAAAAAAAAAACATCTACACTTTTTTCCAGCATCGAAGCAAGATAACGAGCCTTTACATAGCTCATCATTGATTTCCGTGCTATCAGTCCGCAACCAGTTATAGTGTTGAACAGGGTTTACAACCTTTACTTCCATATTTAAGCGACATTTCAAATAAATAGAGTAAGTGATAATTGATGGTTGATAAGTCCCTCTCGCTTGTTACACTATAGTGTATGATCGATTTCGGTTATTGGACTCATTACAACGGTCTTCTGAGTGTTGTTGCTACGAATGTGTGATCGCTTCAAGTTGTTGTCCGGCTTCTAAAACGTCTGATGTTAACGAAAACATTTACAAAACAAGGAGTTTACATTTTTACATTTCAAAAGCTTCAGATTTACCAGTTAATATAAAGGGTGAGATGCCTGCCCATAACATTGTCCATTGATGAAATAACCAGGACTTGCCTGAGAGGCCAACAACAGTGATTTTATGTACATCGGCCGGCCCTCGCATGTCATTGTATGTACAGGCCAATCGCATCCAAAGTGCCTTTGCGATTATGAATGGAAATAGAATACGCGGCGTGTCCCAAAATGGGAATGATCAACGCCGAAACGCTTAACTATTCTCGTGAACTACAACTAAAACTAAAAAACAAACTGTTCTCGTAAATGCTCTTTAAAGGAAACTAGTAGAGCTGACTCGTTGTTTCGGTATTTTAGGGCAGGAGGAGGATGATGTCTCAATGTCTGTGATATCACCATTGCTCAAGTACAGCGGGTTTTATCATCAATTAGCTTCCCCTCGATTGGACCAAATAGCCCAGAGGAAGAGTACGATAAAGAGGTAGGGCTAGGCGTATCGTTGAGAGTGTCGTCTACACGCAGCAGTTGCTGGCTGCTGTAGAATTCGAAATGGCGCGTTAACGACACAAAGGTGCCTGTTCTGAGCAGGACCTCGAAAAACACACCGTCCCTAAAAGCGGTCGCCACTAATTAGTGTGATTGACGAGCTGGCTGAAGCCACGATTTTCTACGATTCATTGCTTGCCATTCAAAAAAAGGAGTACTTGCTAACTTCAACAGAGCCAGCGCCGCATCTTCATTTCGCCACCTTGCCCAATTCGCGTTTACACACCCTCCCCTTCAAAAAACGAGAAAGCGTCGGGTGCAGACCACACAACACAACTGACGGCAGCCGCAAGAAAGTGCACTTGACAGCAACAAACAGAATAATGGTGCGTTGTATCCACTAGTATTCGTCACGTTCACTTTCTCGTCATCAATTTATTACAAGTTTATTGGGGTCTCATCCAGTAAGGGGGGCATCAAGTGGCTGCCCTCACCCCCCACCCCCCTAGACTGCCTACACTCCCCCTGGCGCACAGGTTTCTCTGAAGTACGGGACCCCGTAAGCCAGGGGGAGTGAAGGCAGTCTAGGGGTGGGGTGAGGGCAGCCACTTGACGTTGCATCACAATGCCCCCCTTACTGGATGAGATCGATCAGTGTAAAAACAGTGAACATGCTTTTCAGGGATTGTCAATGATTTCACTGCTACTATGAATACAGTCGTGGTGAGTTTCTCAAATTTATATGTTATGTCCAGTTCTGTTCTTCTTAGCGGAATGAACACTGTAAAATTTCCTCTTAAACATAGTCTGGGAAAGTGGAAGAGTAGTAATAGATGTCCAAATATGAAGTAAGAGGTAGCAGTCGAATCAACAAATGGATTGAAAACCGAGTTAAACCAAAAACCCCGTATTAGGGTGATTTGATACCTGCACGAGTAGAGCGACAGTAGCAGAGTCATCCCAAAAACAATGAGTACCGGGGTAAAGATTACATGAGCAGATTACAAGAGGTAGCAACGCAGATCATACATAGGAACATCCTAATGTGGTGCATGATGCAACCCATAGCGTGCGCCTTGTCTACTATTGGTTGTCCCATAATGTTTGTCGATTTGATCAATTCAAATTTCTTCAAGCCAAATTAGTGTTATTACGAAATATGTTGATATGTCAAAGAGTGCATGTGCACCGTTAGCCAGGACATTTTGGAAGCTCAAACCCGCATCGGAGTAACTGGGTAGAAGTCGAAATGGATCAGTAGCAATACTATCCATTATGCTCGTATATCTCTTGAACAGACGCTGTACGAGAAGGGCACTAGTAAGCATCGGCGCGTCTCTGCTACTGATCCTCACTGAAGCTGGATTCGGTCCGCTAACGCAAAGACAATAGAGCTATGGGTCATGCCTCACCGGCCTCCACTCACTTTCGATGATGACCCTTGCGCCACGGCTTGGAAGTGCACACGGACGCTACTACCAGGGTATTTTAGCAGACACCTGGGCGCAGCCGATGCACCAGCACACGCCATCAGGATGGAGTGGGCGGCAGCAGAATGAAGACTTGATCAAAAACCATATGCGCCGACCACCCACGACCGAGGCAGGGAAGACACCCTAGAGGAATTTCATCCTGTGACCACATTAGCAGTCGTATTCACTAAATATCAAGGGGGTAGTCATGAGTTTCACTACGACAAACAACGCGCAGCAGCTGATGCCTACTCGCAGCCAGGCCTCATCAGCTCAACAAAAGTCCAAACTCCGTATTCTGAGAATATTGCTTTTGATTTGTTAGAATGAGTGGGTCTTCCGTCTTCACAGTGTTTTGCTATGTGCGGACAAGTATTGTGAATGCCATCGTAGAACAGCTCCCGTGGTTGGCCGCAGTAGTGGGAGGAAAGCCCTCTTAAACATCCCGAAATCCTCCCCTTTCTCCGAATCGGCGCTCGACCGCACATTACCAAGATAACTCGCTACGTTTCGAGAAACCGGCTGGACCACGAGACCATGTCCATCTAGGCTCTGGCATCACTCCATCGGGCTACCCCCTTCACAGTGCCTTGAGGCAGCAGCGGCGAGAGAAAAAGGTCACTAAATACAACCACTCCAGAAACGACCTTGCTGAATTCTTCAGCTCATAGCTTCACCCATTCTAGGAGGAAAGCATCCAAAGGTTCCCTGGCGAATGGATGCATATCGGTGATTATGATAATGGTTATATTTTTGATCAATTGGTTTTAGAGGAAGATAAAACTCGATGAGAAGAAAGTGTCGAAATTCGGACAGGAATTATGGGACAACCCAATAGATAATGGTAATACCTACGCGGTCGCGAACCCTGCTACCTCACGCATGGAAGAAACTGTCAACTTAACTAATCGCTTAACATCCCCTAAACCTTAACCTATTCTTTTCAGAGGCACTGGCTGCTGGTTTAGGAAGAACAAGCACTTACCATTGTATGAAGATTGTGGCAATACTTTCATCACACCGTTCTCATGTCCATTTTCCACCATAGCGTAGTTAGGAGAGAACTGAGTAGACGCTGAATATATGAGGTTCTGTATGAGACAACATTCACATGTATTGGAAAATGGATATAAACCCGTAAAAATGTGCAATTAGTTCGTGGAAGGTACATACATTGAAAACCAAATTCGTGACTCGTCTAACCTGGCCTGTCTTGTGGACTGCTGACCATATATGGTAGGTAGGTAGAGGAAGGACCACAGTATATTTCGAGCGGTTTAGGAGATGCTACCTGAAGCGAGCGATTGGAGAATTACGAAAAGCTTCAAAGATGGCAACAATACCTTTTCACGTTGGTTGTTCATGTTGTCCTGAACGAGTGAAGGCGCTGGCTGAGGGGACGCCTGAACGAATGAAGCTGGTGGCTGCTGGGAAGCTTGGGAGAATTGTACGGGCGCCGCCTGAAATATCATGCTCAATGAAGTGCCAATCTGTAGCTGTAACGATGATTCATATGTTCGTTCAATACGTAGCCCAGGAAATTAATAAGAGATGGTCAGTGATGCGCGGAAGAAGAAAAAACAAGAACTTTTAGAAAATAACTAAATAAACTTTCTAACTCGAGAAATGAGACTCCTCCCTTGCCCGCACATTTCCGCATTGATGCGACTCTCATCCATGCTGCTCTCTTCAACGCTAACGCTCTCTCTGCTAAATAGCTAGAGACTCAGACACGAAGGGGTACACCGCACCGATAGCGCACGCGGGAGACCATGCTAGAT